CCAAGATGAACATAAGCCGCCAATGCCGGACCGCAGCCAGCAAGGCCAGCCATACCTTGTCATGCACCCAAAGGTGCATCTCAAGCTGGTCCAGAGAGGTGATCCTCCCCCTCTATCTGACTTTGGTCAGGCCGCAGTTGGAGTACTGCATCCAGTACTGGGCACCACACTTCAAAAGGGATGTGGCCAGCCTGGAGAGGGTTCAGAGGAGGGCCACCTGCTTGGAGAGGGCAGCAGGACAGGCCCTATGAGGAGAGATTGAGGGACCCAAACCTGTTTAGCCTCAGCAAGAGGAGGCTGAGGGGGGACCTGGTGGCTGCCTACAAACTCATCAGGGGATATCAGCAGCAAATAGGAAGAGCCCTTTTCTCCCCAGCACCACCTGCGGTGACGAGGAACAATGGTAATAAGCTGATGGAGAATAGGTTTAGGTTAGAGATCAGAAGGCAATTTTTTACACTTAGGGTGACCAAAATCTGGAACCAACTTCCCAGGGAAGTGGTCCTCGCCCCTACCTTGGGCAAATTCAAGAGGAGGTTGGATGATCACCTGTCTGGGGTCTTGTGAACCCAGCATTCATTCCTGCCTGTGGCAGGGGTGGTGACACAGGGGGTCAGGCTAGATTATCTGTTCAGGTCCCTCCTGACCCTAGCTACTATGAAACACAACGAGCAGCAATGCAGACAGTGGCAATACAGGCTTTCTTCCCACTCCACTCCCACACAACTGTCTTAGCCTTGGCCTACAAAACTTAGGTTAGCGATTAGAAAACAGCTTTTCATGTGGAGGGTGGTTCAGTGCTGGAATAGGCTGGTGGATGCTCCATCTTTGGAGGTTTCAGAAGCAGGTTAGAAGGACATTTGACTGGGCCAGCTGCACTGGGGACAATCTTGCCTTGAGCAGGGGGCTGGACTAGAGGGGACCTGGCTGCTCTATGATTCTGTGCCTTTCTGGGGTGGAGGCACCACGAGGAGCCTTCAGTGTCCTAACCTGGAAGGATCACAGTGGGCATTTGTCAGGGAAGCACTTGGAACACAGATGTCCAGCAACCTTGTGGTGCAGTTCTCAGGGCACTTTTGCCAACCCTCAGACCTGCCTCATAGGGCAAATCTTACCCTTGAACTGGATACAGTTTTGGGTGCTGCACTTCAAGAGGGATGCAAAGAATCTTGAGAGGGTTCAAAGGAAGGCCACTTTTATGGCAAGACCCTACAAGGAGAGACTGAGGGACCTAGATCTCTTCAGACTTCGTAAGAGAAGGCTGAGAGGTGATGATCTTGTGGCTGCCTGTAAATTCATCAGGGTAGGGCAGCATGGAATAGGAGATGCTCTATTTACTAGGACACCCCCTGGAGTAA